TTTATTGGATGCGTTGACGAGTGTTGACAACCGAAATCAACAATACAACAATAGAATTGAACTGCTGAACAACATTCGACAGCCAAATGATGAATTATAGAGTGCACTTGATAGAATGAGAATTTGACTTTAATTGTTGAGTAAAATGAATGAGAAATTAGAAGAAGAGAACACTTTTGGAGATAAAAGTTATGAGAGCGATTGTAACAGTAAGGAAAAGAATGAAAATCCTGTTAAAACTTACATACCCGAGTTAAAAAACACTATCACAATGGCATTTTATCATAACATAACAACTGCACAAAATATTAATATTCCGATCTCCTCCATTACCCCTTGACACCTCCAAATTACCCAAAATGGGTAATTTCACCCCCTCTGAGAACCACAGCTCTAATCATACTGATCTTTTGAACGAGCTAAAGCAAGCTTAAATCTGTTAGTAAAATAATTTTTTCCCGTTGAAGGTTGGGAAAGAATATCATCAGCCGGTGAATTTCTCACCTCATGTTCATCATTAATCTCGAACGATTGTGACGCTTTATCGAGTAGTTCACCCAAAATTTCTAGTCGATCCTCTTCCAGTGATTTATCTTCATATTTAACACTCGTCAGCAAGTCTTCGGTCTCTTTGATACGTTCCTCTGAACGTTTCCAACGACGTTTAATGTCCTGCGTAATATATTCTATTTGAAACAGCTCATTTTTCATCAGAACTATAAGGAACCATAATTCAGTCCTATCAGTCAATAACACAGGAGGCAATCTTATCCAGCGTTCATTCAGTTTCTTTGAAATGAGATCAGTGTTGCTGCCAGACAGCCCAACCGAATGGATCTGTTTTTATAGGATGTAGGACCTATTAATGCCATGCTCTGTTCAGCCCTCCAGATAGTGGTCGTCTGAATAATTTATCGATCGAAAGTTTCGCTTTGCTTCATTCTGTGGCAGTTAGCTGCTTGCAGGTGGAATCCATCAGGCGGAATTAATCACGTCTATCAGCAAATCAGAAAATGATTTCCTCATGAGTCCACCTAAAGTTGTCTGCCTTCCTGTGATCATTTTAGTGACTAATAAATGACTTCCAATGAATCGGATGATCGAAAACTATACAGGCCTCAGATGTGACAATATTTCTCGTTCTTTATGAAATCTCAACCTTATAGTATTNGAAAACTATACAGGCCTCAGATGTGACAATATTTCTCGTTCTTTATGAAATCTCAACCTTATAGTATTTTTCGGCAATCTGATCCGGCAGCTCCTTGAGCGTTTTGAAGAACGAGAGTGGTTTCATAGCCAAATCACGCATGAATTCCTCTTCTTCGATTTCTTCGGGTGTTTTCGGCCGTCCCAAATTTGTCTCTGTAATTATATAATAATACTTAGAAGACACGATACACAAATCATATTTGCTGGAAACAAATTCAGTGTATTGAATTCCTGAAAGTGCTCAATCCCTAAAACGGCGTATGTTACTCGAGCTGTCAGATCCTCTGATCTGTATCAAATTTGTTATTTCTATCTATAGGTCTTAGGAAGCTTCCGAGAATCACTTCATTTCCAAACCGAATCCCTGACCATTACAATCATAATCTTCTTATACCAGTTATTCATTGCTAATCTATCTTGATGGGTATCTCAGCTTGAATCGGAGAGCAGCTCAAGCCTTGGGTCATCGTATATTTTGCAATCGAATTGATCTGATCTCTTCCATGATCTGCTTCGTATGTAAAGCGAACAATAATGAGAACATGAACCTTCTCCATGATCCATGCTCTGCGCAGTGTTATTCGCGAGTAATTTCCTTACAAGTGCATCATTTGCTTTCTTCTTCACCTCTCTCAGACAATCTTTTTTTGACTCTTCCTCATCCTCCTCACTACTTTCATCGTTTAATTCCTCTTCAGTTACTTTCACCACCTCTGATTTACCTCGAACCTTCAGTATGGTACCAAATAAATCCATGTATTT